ATATCCAATCATTTGTCAATTATGCTTTCACAATTTACCTCTTCTCTGTCAGTCTATTTCCAATGCCACCTCTTTGTTCATGCTCTCTCATTCTCTTACCTGGTTAACATCAGTTGTCTTAGCAAACTTGCCACTTTGAAACATCCCCCACTGCCATTTATGTTACTCAATGCTACTGGACTAATCTCTGTGAATTAGTTTCACTACCACTACTGTTGCTCAAAAACCTTTAATGACTTTTACTGCCTACCAGGTAAGTCCAAACTCCTTAGCCTACTACTCAAAGACCTCAGTAATCTGGTTCCACCTTAATTTTCCCAATTTATTTCTCACAACTCTCTTTTATCTTAGTACAAATTAGTCATTTGTTATCTGGAAGTCAATGAAGCTTAATGAAAGGAGCAAAATGACTAGAATTGGTCAGACTTGGATTCAACTCTCAGTTCTATCATGTCATCAGCTGGGGGTCCTTGGGAGTTACTTTTCTGGCATGAGATTTAGCAACCTTATCTGTGAAGCGGAAGGTTACTAAATGATGCAATGAGAACATCTGTAAATGTACCTAGTGTTAGACATCAATTAGCAAACTTCTCTGAATATGCTCCATGTTTCTGCCTATCTGTCCTCTACCTAAAATGCCCCCTTTCTCCTTCCACCTTCTCTATGAGAACCTTAATCTTTTAAGATTAAATGTTATATGCTCCACAATGCTTTTCTTGATCCTTCTTCCTGCCTGAAGTCACCTCTCAACACTCACATTATTTATACCTTCCTAATATTAACAAATACTTAAAACATTACAGATAGCTAACATGATTCATCTCTCTCCTACTAGAGTTGAAGCAGCAGTGATTTAGATAACTACCACATGGAAGCTCACCCAGCAAGTAAAGAGCAAAGCCTAAAGACCATGCATGTCTCAGGTACTAAGATATAAAAGTATGCCTTTTGCTAGTCTGTCCCACTTCTTCCTTAGGGGCCAAATAGTAAGATTACTGTGTACCAGAGACTATAGTAAGCCCTTCTTTATATGCATTCTTTCATTGAATCTGCTCAACAATCCTATGCAGTAGGTATTACTATAGCCTATTTTTTACAAATAAGGAAAGTGAGGCTCGGGCCAGTTTGTCCAAGGTCGCAGTGCTATAAAGTGACTGTGTCAGGAATAGAATTTGATCTATTAGATGCCCAAATTTATGTCCTTAAGGGCTATGAAATATTAAACCAGACACCCACTATGAAGCAAATTACATTTGCAACATAAGCATCAAAGACAAAATATACCTTTGATTTCTAAAAAGTAACGAATTAAGGAGAAGAATCTTAATTTTCATCAGAGAATATACATTCAATGACAATGGAACTAACTCCAATTTGGATGATGTGAACAATAAGAGATTGTGACCCAATGCTGTAAAGGAAAAGATGCATCATCTCAAAATAAATTGAATTCCAACAAGAACGCAAGATATGTGAAGACAGCAACCGCGTTTGTCTCACTGCTGTGAGACATAGAACTGTCTTACACAAAGGTGCCTAACACCCAATGAAATTGAGGATAAACACTGGGAAATAAGCACACTGTTTAAATGGCAAAAGTTTACACTCGAGAACTTTAGAGCAGGAAATGATACCTATTTCAGATAGACTTTTTAAGTAAACCATACAAAGTGGTAAAAGAATCAAAGAGACAAAGAAAGTCTGCCTGAATAGAGAAGGAAGCAGTTAAGAACTACCACCAAAGGTGTCTTCCTGAATCCTTTTCCTCTCTGAAGGTTCAAATCATCTAGCTTCAAATGAAAGTAAAAAAATAGGTGGAAAATAGAGAATTGCCCTTTCTAATCTTCCTAGTTTGGAATTCCTTTTTAAATAGCAGCTTTCAAATATATTTTTTATAATAAATGTTTTATCTTGTAACATTTACATTCTCATTTAAGGCAAATATGAAGTTCACTCAAAAGCAGGGCAGCTAAGGAGTTATTTGATGAGGCAGTCTTTGTTGCTATTTCAAAAGGCCAAAATAAGGCTAAGAGGAGGAAAATTTCCCCAATGATCACCTTAAAGTGATTCGGTAAGTTGGTTAAGATTTAGAAAGACACCCTAAGTGCAAGTGCTGTTTTTTTGGGTAAAATCCATGCAGTCTAGATGCAGTTCTGCTCAAAATCCAACATGCAAATGCCTATCTGCAATCAGCAGACACAGGCAGACAAAATTTAACCTAAAATGCAAATTCTCAAAACTTAAGCACACTTAAAAGGTAAACTAAATAAGCCTACAAATCCAGTAATTGATACTGTCACTTCTGGTTTTGAAGGAAATCATAAAGCAAAATTCTCGAGTATCCTTAATTTTTAGGTTTATTTAAAAACAAAAATTATGAAAATTAGATTTGAATATGAGATGTTCCAAATCACTAACAATGGGTGAATGGGTACAATCAATCAGTATAGTCATTCTGATTTGATAGCTATCACTGTGAATCGTCACTCTGATTTGATAGTTCACTGTGAACCTTAACCATTTGCAAGCTTTTTTTTTTTTTTTTTTTTTTTGGATACAGTAAATCAGTACCAATGAGAGCTTTTTAAATGACCTGAAACACTACAGGTAAGTATTCCAATCAAAAACTCCAAAATGCTCCAAAATCTGAAATTTTTTGAGTGCAGATATGACATTGAAAAGAAATGCTCATTGGAGCATTTTGGATTTTACATTTTTGTATGAGAGCTGCTCAGCTGGTAAATATAATGCAAATATTCAAAAATTGAAAAAAATCCAAACTTAAAACACTTCTGGGCCCAAGAATTTCAGATAAGGGATACTCAACCTGTATCATCTTTAACTGCCTTTCAAACCACTTTCAACTAAAGACTACTGCATTTAGACTTTTAAAAGAATGTAAATGCAAAAATTCTTCACATTAAGATGAAAAATAGGAGGATTAAAAATAGGAGGTTCACTTTTATTTTGCTAATCCGTCAAAATACATTCAAGCATAGCACGAAAATTATATTCAACACTAGGTTCTGTACCACCTGCTCCCATGAACTCTTAAATCTGAATAATGTTCAGATAATTCTCATAGGTGGAAGGGGTCAAAACATACAACCAGTTGTCCGTCCTCCCCAAGTCCCACATGCCAAAATGCTTTTGCATATAAAGTGACAAGAGGAACCCAGAAGTGACTAAATACCACTATGCTTTTTTCTTCACTACAGTTTATAGCAATTTTAAGGGTAGACACATGACAATAAAGTGTTAATATACCATGAACAGGACAGGTTGCCTTCCTAATAAACAGAAAATCCTATTACATAATTCAATTGCAAACTTTAGAAGCCACTATATTCCCATGTTGGGAATATAAAATGACAATAACCTTATTAAACTGAAAACCCTGAGGAAGGTGAACTACTATTCCAATTGACCCAGGTCTTCCCACCAAAACTGAGTAAGTCAAGCAGAGTAGTATTTAACAATTGCAACGAAAAATCTCAGAATCATTTTCTGTATCCTAGAGGCCACTCTATAGCCAACAAAAAGTTGGACCAAATTACCAAATGAAGTAGCCCACATGTAATTTGTATATCACTAGAATTTAAAAAAAGACAGAAATGTATGGAAACTGTAGATTTGAGAGCAAAGGATTTGACTATGTGTTAATCACATCAACGTGCAAAAACATTCACCCCATTTGTCAGAGGATATAACACTATTTGTACCAAGCATCCGCTACCCTTTGTCAAAGTGACTACTGAGCAGCCATAACTTAGCCTAATAATCTTAACCTTTCTTCATACTTCTTTAAAAGCCCTGTCAATCAGAAAAAAAAAAAAATCTGGCAAGAACTAGACCTTTAGGAATTGAACAGTGACAAAAAGTTAAAAAATGGTTCAATATTAAAATATTATTTTATTTTAAAGCCCAATAATCTTTCAGAAAGTTTCTTAGTATAGCTTTGAGCCTTCAACATCAATATTTAGGTCAAATATTTAAGTTAAATATTATCATAACATCAAGTTAAGCACACTAGATTAAAAGGTACTCTGAACCCACCCACCAGGTTATACATACTCTCACTCAATCATGTAAAGAATTGAATTCTTTATTTGTGATATCCATAAACGTTGCTATTCTATATTTCTATTCAGAAAGGCAATTTTCTCCTATTATCAGTTTTTTCTTCTCTTATAAACAACAACTTGAATGCTATTGCATGAAAGGGCTACAAATATACATTTGTTAACCAAGCAGAATACACAGATATTTTGCTTTACAACTTGCACCTAAAATACCAGTATACGTAGCTGGTTCATTAGTTGTCATAGCAATTTAGGGCTATTGCCCAAGCTATGCATAGCAGTTTACATTTTCAAACCTCATATAGAAAGGGCAATTGTGATATGAACTGGCAACTACATTCCTGTGAAGCCCATCTCAGTTACAAGCAAACGTGTAACTTCCAAGTCTGCAAAGAATTCTGATGGCAAAACTTCTATATCTGATGCAATTGTCCTAAGCAAGTTTTTAAACAAATTGTTTCGCAGCTACTCTGCCATTCTGCCAGTAGGTGGTGCTACAAAGATCGGGAAAAGGATTTCCATGAGGACAACAGTTCAGATATAGGGGGGGGGGAAAAAACCGTTTAAACCTGCTCTGAAAGTACAAAAACGCATCTGAGGGTAAAATATAACCCTTATTTTTAACCATTCATTACAGATAAACCAGTAAGAGGGATGAAACTAGGCCATCTGAAAAATTTTCAACAGTTTATATGAATGACATGCTTAACACAAACTATATAGAACTACACAGTACACAGTTTGAAGTAAATTGTCATAGAAATGACCAACCATGTCAAGATGGTAAGCAAATCGCTTAGTACAAGAGATGGATGCACAGAAACTTAAGAGTTTAAAAAGCCACATCCACCACTTCAAAAGTTTTGCCTGTAAGGGATATAATTCAACACGCAACTAGCAGGGCAACGGGGGGCGGGGGGGGGAGGGAACCACAGGACCTCTTAAGTTTCTCTAAGTACACATCAAGAATAAAGAATTAACACGTAAAGTCTTAAACAAATATCCCTTAAAAACGGTACGGAATGGATCCTAGAAAAGAAATGTTAGACATGTACGGTCAAACACAATGATTTATTAAAAATAAAACGTAAAAATGATTTTTGTACATATGCTTCCAAATTTCAGGCATGGGATCCAAGTAGATTTCATAGAAAACGCTGTAGCCAGGTTATCAAGTCCTTACAACAAAGTAAACTACCCCCCACCCCAACCCCCGCCCAGGTTTTGCTACAGAATCAGCAAGTTCACTCCCTCCCTCCCCCCAAAAAACACAAATTAAAACAAGACATTTTGCTAGTATAAAAACGACCAAGGTCCAAGTAATAATAAAAAAATAGAGTCCATCAATGACTGTAACACAAAAATGTGTATGTGGGGCCGAGTCCATCTTCAGAGGGAGAGACAAGAGAGGTGGCAGGCAAATAGAGGAACACCCCCAAGGGTAAGCAGCCTTAGAAGTGGCTCCCCCAAGGGCAAAACAGGGAAGGCGGTGGTGTGGGTGTGAGGGGGTGGGGCTTAGGAGTTGACCCCACTTGGGTTTTTGAAAAGAGCTACCCCAAGAGCCACTCCCAGGCATTTTAAATTTTCTTTTAGAAGGAGCTCCCTCCATAGCCACCCCCACCTCCATAGCCGCCTCTGTAAGGTCCACTATTACTGCGACCGCCCCAGCTGCTGCCTCCGCCGCCGCCGCCGCTCTTCATGGGCCCGTAAGAGGACTGATGCTGACTGTAGCTGCCGAAGCCGCCGAAGCCGTTACCGTAGTCGCTCCCACCGTAGGACGAACCGCCGCCGCCGCCTCCGTAAGCATTGTAGCCGCCGCCACCGCCGCCGCCGTAACCACCGTAGCTGTTGTAACCGCCGCCGCCGCCCTTGGAAAGGCCGTTCTGGTCTCGACCACCGCCGCGCCCCCGGCCGCCTCGGCCGCCCCGGGAGGATCGGGAGCCGCCTCCACCCCCACCGGAGTAGATATCCTCCTTGGGGACTGCCTTCTTCACCTCCACGCGATGGCCCTGAATCGGATGGAACTTGACCACCGCGGCCTTGTCTGCCGCGTCGTGATTCTGAAAATACACGAAGCCGAATCCACGCTTCTTGCCGGACTGCTTGTCGGCAATAATCTCGGCCTTTTCCACGGTGCCAAACTGCGAGAAGTGCTCGATCAGGTCGCCCTCAGCCACGTCTCCCTTAAGGCCGCCGACAAAGAGCTTCTTAACCTTGGCGTGGGCACCGGGCCGCGCCGAATCCTCCCGGGACACCGCCCGCTTCAGCTCCACAGTGTTGCCGTCCACGGCATGGGGCGAGGCGGCCATGGCGGCGTCGGCCTCCTCCACATTGGAGTAGGTCACGAAGCCAAAGCAACGGGAGCGCTTGGTCTGGGGATTCACCACCACCACGCAGTCCGTCAGAGTCCCAAAGGCCTCAAAGTGGCCGCGCAGGCCCGACTCACTCGTCTGCACATTGAGGCCGCCGATGAACAGCTTACACAACTGGGAATTCTCCATCTCCAAGGCTCGGGCCTTGCCCCCGCCCTGCGAGCTCCGAGGTTTCGCCGTCGCCGCCGTTATCGTTGGTTAAGGCCTCTACACAGCTTGGGCCCAGCCGCTGCTGGAGCCACCCCCGCCGGTCACCGACAGGGAAGGGAAAAAGGGAAGGGGAGGGAAGGAAGGAAGAAAGGAAGGGGGAGGGAAGGGGAGCGGTGCCGGCGAAAGGGCGAGCCGAGGAGACTGGAAGACAACCAAGGCCACCGCTACCGCCGCCGCCACCTCCGCTCCCCTATCTGGGCACCACACAAAGAGGCCGCTGAACGCGCGCGCACCCTCCCCGAGGCGTGCGTCACCGCCGACGTACGGCAGCCTAGGGCTGCCCTCCAATCCCCGCCTCGCTCCCCTTAATCCCGCCTACCGCGCCGCAGCGCCGCTCTAGATCACGGACTCCCCGCCCTCCGCGGTCTATTCAAGCCCGCGGCCTGTGCCGCTCCCGCCTCCCCTTCTGCCAACCCGCTTTCATTCCCGAGCGCCCTATTGTCCCTTGACATGGGTCCCTCCCTGCCCTCCGCGCACCGCCGCGATTCATTTCCTCCTAGCACTGCGGCTGTTCCCAGTGTTTCTCCCCCTCCCCTTTCCTCATCTCCGCGCCCAACTCCGCAGTGGCGTTCGCGCCAGCCCCTTGAGAGACATGTCAGTTCAGCCAATCACCGTGATCCCCTCGCACCCACTTCCGTTTTCGGCAGCTGTTGGACGGGCGCGCTCCCCGGTGCGCGCTTGCCCCGGCGCCCCCAGCGTGCAGAACCTGTCTGCCACCCCCTCGCCTTCTGCAGCCCAGGGCTTTGCAGGGGAGAGAGCAGGAGGCGCGCTGGGGGCCATTCCCAGCGGATGCGGCCTGGGGCGCCATGCGCGGGCTTTTTGAAAACTTGACGTTGGGGTTGGGGGCCCGGATCTACCCGCCGCCTTTCCGCTTGTCCGCTACACCTGGCGTCCCCGCCCCACCTCCCGCCCGCACAAAGATGGAGGGCAGAGGCCTGGTCCACGAAGGCGGTTATTAACCGTTTACGGTGGGCCGACATGCGGTTAAACTAAAACTCTGCCACGTGGCCCTGCGCAAAAGCGAGCCCGAGGCGGCGGTGTGAAAGACAACGGAACCAAAGAGCTTCAGACATTACGAACCAGACGAGGCGCGACATCCCTGCCACCCTCCCGCCATCCTTGAAGCCCTCCCACGACGCCCTCTCAGAAGGAGGCCCTTTCAGGTCCCCTTGGCATACTCCAAAATTTTCATTTAACCTCAGTGAATGGGTTTTTATGTGTAATTTACATCATCCATGTGTTGCTTTCTTTCAACTAGAATGTTAGTTTTTTGTTTTTGTTTTTTTTTTTTTTTTGAGATGAGTTTCACTTTTGTTGCCGAGGCTGGAGTGCAGTGGGGCAATCTCGGCTCAGCAGCCTCCGCCTCCTGGGTTCAAGCTGTTCTCCTGCCTCAGTCTCCTGAGTAGCTGAGATTACAGGCGCCCACCACCATGCCCGGCTGATTTTTGTATTTTAGTAGAGATGGGGTTTCACCATGTTGGTCAGGCTGGTCTGGAACTCCTGACTTCAGGTGATCCATCTGCCTCGGCCTCCCAAAGTGCTGGGTTACAGGCGTTAGCCACCGCGCCTGGCCTAGAATGTTAGCTTTGCTTGTTTTTTGTGTTTTGTTTTGCTTTTTGTTTTTTTGAGACGGAGTCTCGCCCAAGCTGGAGTGCTACGGCACGATCTTGGTTTACTGCAACCTCTGCCTCCCAGGTTCAAGCGATTCTCCTGCCTCAGCCTCCCGAGTAGCTGGGACTACAGGCACGCACCACCACGCCTGACTAATGTGTGTATTTTTTAGTAGAGACAGGGTGAACATGTTGGCCGGACTGGTCTCAAACTCGTGACCTAGTGATCCTCCCGCCTCGGCCTCCTAAAAGTAGAATGTTAGCTTTTTAAAGGTGTTGGTTAGACGAACGTTTTACAGAGAGAAAGAGAGATCATATAGCCCTAAGTCACTGCTTTTAGTGCCCTCACTCAGATGGGAATGGAAGAAAATTACAACGGCTTCCATTTATTGAGCCTTTGTGTGCCCAGCAAGATACATGGGGTGGGACATAGTTAATATGAGGCATTACGTGACCAAAAGCCTCCAAAACTATATGGTAAATACTGAAGAAGTTAAGAGGAATTCCTCACCGTATCCTCAAGTATTCAGGAAAGATTTAGGAAAGAATTGGAAGTTGCACTGAACCTCAGAGCCAAAGACTAGTTAGTATCCTAAACAAATTAAGGCTGGAACAGAAAACCAAATACCACAAGTTCTCACTTATAAGTGGGAGCTACACATTGAGTACATATGGACACAAAAGAAGGGAACATTAGGTCTTTTTTAAGGATGGCGGGTGGGAGGAGGGTGAGGACTGAAAAACTACCTATGAGGTATTATGCTGGTGACTTGGGTGACAAAATTATCTATACACCAAACCCCCAAGACAATTTACCCACATAACAAACCTCCACACGTATCCCTTGAACCTAAAATTAAAAATTGGAAAGGAAAAAAAAAAGATTTCTATATGGAGTTTACTTGAGCAAAATCCAGAGGGAACATAAGCTTCAAGAGACAGGGAGTGGACCAGTTAGTTTGAGAGGAGCAGGCAGTTTTAGATAGAAAACAGTAAGAGGTAAGACAGGTTGAGGGTCTTTGATACTATGAAATGATACTATGGAATGTGTTGAATCTTAGGTTAAGTAGTTAGGGGGATATTGTAACAAAGGTAAATAGATGGACTAAAGTTTGAGGGTAAACTCGTCTGGTCTATCACTTACCCTGTAACCGTCCAGTTATGTGACTTTGGGCAAGTTACTTAACCTTTTTAAAAATGTAATCAGTTTTATTATCTTAAAATGGGAATAGTAAAACATCTTTCTGTTGTAGTGAAAATTAAAGAGATTCTACATGTATACATGCCTGGCACATAGTAAGTGCTCAGTTTGTCCAATTATATGAATCCTATGCCTGGTGGTGGCAATATGGCTGTAAACAACAGACAAAAACCTGTGCCCTCATGATGCTTACATTCTAGTGGGAAGAAGCAGACAATAAACAAGAGTGGTATATGGCATGTTAGATAGTGATACATTGGAAAAAAAACGAAAGAGGACAGGAGAAAGCTATTAACCATGTTATTACAAAAAAAAAAAAAATTCAAATGTCAGGATTTGCCTATTGATAATAAAGAAAAGGGAAAATGGGCTGGGCACAGTGGCTCATGCCTGTAATCCCAGCACTGTGGGGGGCTGAGGCAGGCAGATCACTTGAGGTCAGGAGTTCAAGACCAGCATGGCCAACAAATTGAAACCCCATGGGTGGTGGCACATGCCGTAATCCCAGCTACTTGGGAGGCTGAAGCAGGAGAATTGCTTGAATGCAGGAGGCAGACGCTACTGTTAGCGGAGATGGCACCACTGTTTTAGAGTCATCCAAATCTTAAACCAGTAAAAGATGAACTTCCGAAGGAATAAAGACCATAACTTACGAAAACTGTTACTTTAGGAATTTACAATTTTAGTAGATAGTTTTTGTCTACATTGTTTTTAAATAATAGTTTACCAGCAGTGCCCAACCTTTCTGGCACCAACGGCCTATTTCATGAAAACAATTTTTCCACAGACCAGGATGTGGTTTCAGGATGATTCAAGTGCATTACATTTATTGTGCACTTTATTTCTATTATTATTGCATCATAAGATTCAATGAAATATAATAATTATACAACTCACTATAACATAGAATCAGTGAGAGTCTTGAGCTTGTTTTCCTGCAACTAGCCGGTTCCCATCTAGGGGTGACACCCAAAGTGTGTTGCTTATGTCCAGTTTACTCCATAATCTCGTTTTGGTTGCTGTCACTGCAGAAAACCCTGCATCACAAATATAGGATGCTGGAAATGGAAGCAGGCTTTTCAGTGCTTTTGTGGCAATCTCAGGATATTCCACCTTGACTTTAATCCAGAATGTATGGAAATTTGAAGTTGTCTCAAACATACAAGGTCGCCGTCACCTGCAATCTCAAGCAGTTGATCCTCTTCCAGTATGGACAAAGTCGATTCTCCTGGCTTATTCACAAATGGGTGGTGGATCCATTCCTTCCCAGTTCAGGGTTTTTTTGTGGTTGGCAAGTAAAGCTGAAACTCTTTTGAAAGCTGAGCTAGGTGATCATGCACCAGCTGGGAGAAAGAAGGTCCTGGCTCAGCCTCTTTCAAAATCTCTGCTAATGTTTGAAACATGTCAGAAATCCCAATGTTCACTCGTCGCCCCCAAAATTCCAGTTTGGTTTTGAATGCAGCCCCTTTATCTGCTGATTTGAACACAGTTGTTGTTCTCCCCTGAAGTGACAGATTGAATTCGTTGAGCAGGCTGAATCTGTCACACAAGTAAACAAGTTTTGCCACCCATTCTATGTCACTGAAATGTGCTGCCAGTGGTGACTGTTTTTGTAAAAGAAATCTCTGGAGTGGCTCTCATAACTCAAAAACTCTGGCCAGTTATCTACCTTTAGAAAGGCATCTCATTTCTTATACACATCTCACAGAGTTGCACAAATAGACGTGAGTTAAGGGCATGCACTTTAATGTCATTGATAATTTTAATCACATCCTGCAAAACGTTAAGTTTGGGTGATGATTTTCAGCTACCCAGCATTTCTCTATAGATGACACAGTGCATAGACTCACATTCAGAAGTGACCTCTTTGACCTGAGTAGTGAAACCAGAAAGTCATCCAGTCATGTCAGCCACTCTGTGCATATACTGACACAAAATGACCAATTCCGTTTTCCTATATGTAATCATTCGAAGTCTTGAATAGTTCTGCACCTGTGTGTTGGTTGGCAACAAAAGTGCACATAACATATCCCCCTGCACATCCTCCTGAAAAAGATATGGCACAATAACAAGCATTGTTGTCTTGTTATCAACATCGGTAGACTCATTAACCTGGATTGCATACCATTGTGATGCATTAATCCTCTCTAGCAATTGTGCCCCAATATGCTCTGCTATTTCATCAGTTTGTCTAGTTATGGTACTAGCCGAAAAAGGAACACGTGCCACCTTTTGAACTCCAGCGTCTCCTAAAAGTTCATGATAAATGTCCTTAGC